TGACTCCCTCATTGACTTGATCGTGGATGGAATTGAAGAGTCTCTTGATGTGCTTGGTTCTCTTGTGAAATCTGGATTCCTGTGCAAAGACAATTGCTCCAGTATTGTCACAAAAGATTTTTATTGGACCCAATGCACTAGGTATGACACCTAGATCGGATATGAACTCCTTCATCCAGACTCCTTCATTTGTTGCTTCCGAAGCAGCTATGTATTCCACTTCACACGTAGATCCTGCCACGACGCTCTGTTTGGAACCGCACCAACTAACAGCTCCACCATTTAATAAAAATACGTATCCGGTTTGTGACCTAGAGTCATCTAGATCAGTGTCGAAGCTTGCATCGACGTAACCGTTTTCGACGAGCTCTTTGTCACCTCATATACGAGAAACATATCCTTAGTCCTTTTCAGGTATTTCAGGATGTTATTGACCGCTGTCTAGTGATCCACTCCTGTCTAGCGATCGCGCTCGCCCACGCGTGCTCCTCCATCGATCGCTGCAGCCCGCCGCCCCGACGACCTCATCTGTGGCCCTCCCGGACGCGGACCAAGGACTCAATTGCGCAGCCGCAATGGACCCTCACATCGGCCAGATCCGAGCACCTTCGGCGCCGCCTTCACATGTCTCCGGCACCTCCACGAGAACTACTGGTTCCGCCTGCTGGGTCATGTCCCCGCCGTGGGTGTCGTTCTCCATGTTGTCCCGGTTTGGTCGGCCGCATGGGAAGAGGAAGAGGAAGGAGAGGGCAACACAGCCCAAACTCACAGCGGACCGCCTCTCCAATGACGACGTGGGCTTCTACCTCCCCCTTATTTGTTCTTAGCGTGATTTCATTCTTCAGCATCTGAAGTAGTAGACCATTTAATTAATTGTTGCCGATAGGCTAGCTCATATGTTCTGATCAAAAGTGGTTTCACATGTTTGTTCATTGATTGGGAAATGATATTGTTTTTTCATGAAGCATCACAAGAAGGTTGATTCTTCTCCGTATGTTCAAATCAATTGTTGATTGATTAGCCAAGGTTGATTTGGGTCGTCCATGTCTGCAAGTGTTCAATTGCAACCTTAAAACCAGTCACAAAGTTGATTTGGTCCATGTACTGACTTAATATTTTTTCAGGTTTAGGTTATTGAGATTGTACATCAATATGATATTTCTATACATGTTGATTTGTTCAGTTGTTTACAAGTATAAGAGGTGCAGAGCACAGGATTTGGAGGTACGGAGTTTATGATACAGTGACGTATTTTGTTTTGGTACTGAACATCAAATTGTGTCTTTTCTATTTATGAACTCTTTGGATATGTTCTTTACTGGGCGGATCCGTGCACTGCCGAGACCTCAGTCTATCCACTGTAGGTCATGCCTTTTGACAGTTGTTGATATATTTTTCTCCATGCCCGTTTTGTTGATCAAATTTCTGATTTTATATTTAGGTAGGAGTATTTTATGAACTTACTCTTCTCCATGGCGCGTCCATGAGGTCAGAAATTTCATGCTCCAAATGTGTTTGGCGAGCAGAAGGTTATTTGGTGATTGCTTTTGTCAACTGCCGGTTATGAGATTTGTGTGCATCATGGTTTGTCGATTCACGTAGTGCAGGTAGTAGCCATTTATTATAGAACATGCTTCGCGATGGAAGAGAAAGTAATTTGTATGTGTGTATTATTTTTATTCCCGCGTAAAAGGTTTAGCTGTAAACAACAATTTTTTCAAGGTGGGATACCATAAAGTGGATGGTTATTCATTTACTTTTTAATTCAGTTTAGAGAGCAATGTTAGGTGTCATACTTCACCGCCGACCATGACAGTCCTCCCACCGCTCCCTCCCGGGCACCACACCGAGGCACACGCCGAGGCAACCTCCACCGCTGTCGAGGGGCACACATGTGTCAGAGGCACTTGGGAATCTGAGGCGCGAGACATGAGAGGCGGTTCGGGGCCTCCAGACATCCACCGGGGTTGACTAGATGATAGGTGATGACTGGAAGACGAGGTGTTGATGGAGGACCTGGTGAATCATGAAGCGGATTGACGAGTTCACTGACGCGCAGGTATGACTGCTTTACGCATTTTCAGAGGTTTGATGCACGGGCTGCAATGGTTTAATAAATTGAATCTTCTATCATTCTAACATTTGGTAGACGATGAGGCAGGTCAAATAGATTATTCTCACACGGCACACATAATAAATTTTCAGAACCTTTTGTCCGGTCAATGTTATGACTAGAGTAGTTCATCTAACTTTTTTCATACGGCCTTAACCAGTTTCAGAGGTTGCGGCGCAAGCATGTGGAAACATATGCAGTTGATGAAAAGGCTAATCTTATTTCACATGTTTTTGTGCCTTTTACCACTGCAAATTTGTGTCCAATTTGTTCAGTCTAGCTATACCAATTTGTTTATGCAATTAACTATAAGATTGTCTGGTATTGAGGGTCCTTTATATATATTTAGATGTCCCAGCCAGTTCATACTTGCATTACAAAGGTGAGCGTGTGATATTTGTGATGTTTTTTACACTAATTGAATGCAAGTAAGGTGTGCTCTTCTCCTTTTCAATTGCTCTTATCTATTTAGATGTCCCAGCCAGTTCACAGTTATATTACAAAGGTGTGCGTGTGATATTTGTTTTGTTTTTTACACATATTGAATGCAAGTAAGGTGTGTTCTCCTTCTTATTGAACAAATGAAATTCACACTTGGATGGAAGGATTTGTGATGTGCTTAGATCTATGATAAGATTCAGCAATAAGCGGTTTTTTTTTGTAAAAATACATATTATGATTTGGTTAGTTTATCCGCACACCCACATGCATAGAAGTTAAGCCTGTTCTTTTTCTTCGCGTAATTGTGTTAAGAACAGAGAAAACATAACTTTGTATACTGATAGCTGCACAACATAATACAAGTACTTGTTGCTTGAGTATTATTGACAATCCTCCTCTCTGACGTTGTCTCCATCATGACGCTCTGGACGACAGGTGCCTGAGATGGTCCCATCAGTATATATGCAGCGAAAGTATTTGCAGAAGTAGTGGCATGTTTCAGTAAAGGCGGTCGACAATTTGGCTTTTATTCCATTGGTAATAGAAGCATGCACAAATGCGAGCAAGGCTGGGTCACCTGGGTGTCATTCTGTAGTTTAGACTGTCTTATAAAGTGCTAACCTGCCATAATACAAAGCGCTAGGTAAAAGGTTGCTCCTATACTCATCTCATACATTCATTTGATCAGCTTAACCCCAAGTGTTCAGTTCTAATTTTCTTTCTACACCGGCTACGGTAATATTGATATATATGTATAGTTTTTTTTTGAAGTAATACTGCTGATATGATTTTCCCTTCTTTTTATGCTTTTAGGTATTTGTATGATTGATCAGAACATGGAGCAGCAAAAGAGAGGAGAGAGAGGAGAGAGAGGAGCTACCACGGTGGCCAGGTAAGTCGAAGATGTAGTGGAATGAGATAGAATAAGCGTGCACTCCACAAGCTTACCACGCTATGCTATTTGGGATAAGTCACATAGCATAATTAGGATACGAGATACAACAAAATATTTGAGGGATTGCAAGGTGCTATAGGACTCAAACATCAATGGCGCTGATCATTTCAAACTTAGGCTTTATGATCAAATGGCAAGCATAGGGAGCTCTCATCATGGGAATCATATCTGAAGCGGCGTGAGGCAATGTGTTTAATCTCCATATCTCTACATCGCTACAGGATATTCACATAATGGAGGGATTGCTGAAGAATGGTGAGCCAATCTTTCGCTGCTGGTGTCAATGATGTCCAATTTATGAGTTCTCTTTCCAGAAACAAAGAAATTCAGATGAGTAGTGAATTCATTGCAGACATACAAGATGCATCAGCTGACACAAAATTCATTTTGTAGCAGCTTGCAAGTGACTCAAGGTTTGGCAATAAAAATATAGGGCACACAATATTGATCAATGCCTTTATTCATATGGTCCTGTAGCAACGCACGGGCATTGTCCTAGTCACCCTAACAACAACAATTCCAGTCCCAATATGGGAGGGGACAGCCACACACGAGCATGGCGCCACCTTTGCATCCCCTCGCGTTACGCCGCACCAACCAAGTGATACCGCCCCGATGTTTCCAAAGTACCGTCCCTGTGCCCATGGGGCACCCGTGCGCCCACCCCGCCCTGCCTCAAGCGTCACCACGATGGACAGGAGAAACAAAACATCAGAATCCGAGCGCCGCCCACCAGCCACGCTCGCTCGCTTGACCGGGAACTGAAAACTGCAACCGAAACCAGTCGCCTCCGGCCTCGTTGACCCACCCCACCCCACCCCGTCGCCACGCGACGCAACAGGACCTCACCAAACCCACCTGGCCCGGCCCGGCCCGGACCCAGACGCGGCGGAGCAAAGAGCTTCCATTCGAGATTTCGAGCCCGGAGGAGGAATTCAAAAGCATTAAACGCCTTCCTTAAACAACCAAAACCCCTCCCCACGATATTAGCTGCGCCTCCCTCTCCCATCTGCCCCGCCCACATCTCCCTCCTGTTACTCTCCCTCTGCCTCTTCCCCGTCTCCGACCGCCGTCGCCGCCGCCGTCCTCCGCCCGGCCGCCGTCTTCCGCCGCGGAGCTGGGTAAGAAGGGAGCGTCTGGTTTTCGGCTCGGCGGCGAGGGCTGCTTCTGCCGCCGCGGCGCGGGGAGGTGAGGTGGAGGCGGAGGCGGAGGAGCAATAACTGGGAGGGAGGCAGTTGGGGGAGTGTAATTCGGGGCATTGATGGCGGAGCCCCGGAGGGTAGTGGTTCCTGTACCTGCGCAGCTCTGCCCCCGCCTTTATTGCTTTTAATTTCCCTCCCAATTCCATCGGCCTCCTCCCCCCAATTCCAGCCCACAGTTTCAGCGCGCACGCCCGGGGCCGGAGTACTGCCGCTGCAGCAGTAGTATCCCAGCGTCGCGGACGGGCATGGGGAGCGGCGGCGGCGGCGGCGGCGGGAGGAGCGGGTGGTGATGATGCGCGCGCGCGCGCTCTGGGCGGCGCTGCTGCTCGCCGCGCTGGCGGCGGCGGTGCGGGGGCAGGGCAACCTCGCCTCGCGGGCGGATCTCGCGGGGCTCTACACGCTGCGGGGCGCGCTCGGGCTGCGGGCGCGGGACTGGCCGCGCAAGGCGGACCCGTGCTCCGCGTGGGCCGGCGTGGGCTGCCGGGGCGGCCGCGTCGTGTCCGTCAGCCTCGTCGGCCTCAGGCGCACGCGGCTGGGCCGCCTCGCCCCGCGCTTCGACGTCGGCGGCCTGCGCAACCTCTCGCGGCTCGAGTCCTTCACCGCCGCCGGCTTCGGCCTCCCCGGCTCCATCCCGGCGTGGCTCGGCGCGGGGCTCGCGCCCTCTTTCCGGGCTCTCGACCTCTCCGCCTGCGCCGTCACGGGGGAGATCGCCGCGTCGGCCATCGCGGGGCTCGGCAACCTCACCACCCTCAACCTCGCCGGCAATCTGCTCTCCGGGCAACTACCGGCCGCCGCGCTGGCGGAGCTCCCGAAGCTTGGGGCTCTCAACCTCTCCGGCAATGCCTTCTCGGGCGCGCTACCTGACGCGGTGTGGTCGCTCCCGGAGCTGCGCGTTCTCGATGTGTCTCAGACTAACCTCACTGGCGCACTGCCGGGGGCAGGGATTGCGCCGTCAGCCACCTTGCAGACGGTGGATCTGTCTGGGAACCTCTTCTATGGCACCGTGCCGGACACCTTCCATCAGCTGTTCAGCCGGGTGATGGCCAATATCTCTGGGAATTACTTTGAGGGCAAGCTGTCAAGTGTTGCCGGTGGAAATGTGTCCTCTGAGATGAACTGCTTCCTTGACGTTGCCGGGCAGCGTAGCCCGGAGGATTGCCAACAGTTCTATGCTGGGCGTGGACTGCCATACGATGGGCCGGTTGCCGCACCAACGCCACAGCCTTCGCCTGCGCATGCGCCTGCAGAAAAGAAGAATGGAAGGAACAAGAATTTGAAGTATATATTGATTGGGGCCATCGGTGGCGGTGTCCTGCTTCTAGCCGTGATTGCAGCCGTTGTGTATTGCATTGTGCGTTCTAGGAGGGGTAGGAGTGATCAGAGGGAAAGCGGCGCTCCAAGTGCACCGTCAGGAGTGCATGGGAGTTCAAGGGCTGCGGCAGCTACTGGTGCCACACAGCCTTCTGCCTCGCCCGCAAGTTTGGCAAAGGTCGGTGATTCATTTGCTTATGACCAGCTCGCCAATGCCACCTCGGGGTTTGCAGAGGAGAGGATTATCAAGCATGGTCATTCAGGTGATCTATACCATGGTGTGCTCCAGGATGGGACCACCGTGGTCGTGAAGAGGATCACCACCCGTGTCGCTAAGAAAGATGCGTATACGACGGAGTTAGATTTATTTGCAAAGGGATTGCATGAAAGGCTGGTGCCCTTAATTGGTCATTGCTTTGATAAAGAGGACGAGAAGCTTCTTGTGTATAGGTTTGTCCGTAATGGTGACTTGTCATGTGCACTGCACAGAAAGACAGGGGAGGAAGAGGAGGGAATGCAATCGTTGGATTGGATAAAGAGGTTGAAGATTGCAACAGGCGTCGCGGAGGCACTGTGCTACCTTCATCATGAGTGTAATCCACCCATGGTTCACAGGTATAAACTTCTGTATTGTTCGTAGATGCCAAATTTATTTCAGAATGATGTTTCTTTGTAAGTACCCCCATTCCAAATTAATCGAAGTTCTAGCTTTGTCCAAGTCAAACTTGTCTATATCTGACCAAGTCTATGTGAAAATGTGCTAATATCTAGAACATCAAATATATTTTTTCTATAGAGTCGGTCAAATTTAGGACAATACTAAAATTTTAATTAATTTGTAACGGATGGAGTAGTATGGTGCAAAATGGGCAATGTACAGGTTTGTGATCTTTTATCTTAGGTAGGATATTGGGCTCTTTTCTCAACGTGATGATTATACTGGCATTGAGTGCTGGCCCAACATTCCCACCTTCTGCATTTCATTGTGGGTGTTATGACAATTCATATTTCTTTCTGTTGGTACTGGCGTGGTTATGCAATGGGCACCACCATATGTCCCAACAGAATTGGTGACAGCTAGGAATACACTGGCCAGTGGCCACACACTTAATGGACTGGATATTTCTGAATCAGTTTTGGTTATATATATAGTACTTCCTGTACTTTGCCCGAATAACAAAAATTCAATGCGAACAATGTTATTATTTCCTTCATTATTTATCAACCTTGTTGGACATAATTTCCGCTGTCGTGTAGTGGCATCTCATTAT